GCACGTAATATTACTATTGTCCCCGCAAATGGGGTTTTTGAGAATAGGTTTTTTTTTAAATTGTACAAACTTGACAGTGTTTCCCCGAAGTACCTAATTTCTTCAATCCTTGATTTACTTTATTTTCATTTATTAAAAATTGCAGTAACGAATAAGCATTGGAAAATATTCTTAAAAACGTGTAAAGGAGTCACTGCTTTTTGAAGTGTAAACAGTATGAACATACTAAGCATACAGTCACAGATTAGATAAAATCGAATTATCTAATATCTGTGATAGAGTTAAAAAGATAAATGAACACCACCGACTACTACTTACAACCATTACATTAAAGCTGCTCAAATTTTGGCTGATTTTTTGAAATTTCATTAATGTCCAATGACACTTGTGTATATTTAATACACATGTATTAAAAATTATTTCATACAATAATTATAGTAAAAGGTGCTGAACAATAATAATTTAATTCCTCGTCGTATGTGGTCACACGCACTGAAGCAAGTTCGAGTTATCAGTAAACACAGAAGTGCACCATCTGGTTTTATCTAATCTGTGGTTATATTCATAATATACATTTACATAATATTAAATAATTATAAATTATTGAAATCTAAAAATATTGACCAATTAACAAATAGGTAAATAATACAGTTATTTTGTACAATGGTTGCTATAAAAACAGCTTATATATTAATGTGTTAATCATACAATAATTTTTGTACCCATAACTTCAAAAAAGGCCTCTCGTCATTTTTCTACTCTTAGTCCAATATAACTTATGTACCTTTCTGTCTTCCCCAAAAAAGACAGTCATCTCATACTTAAAGTTTATTAGATAAAACCTTTTATAGTTTTATACCTTTTATCCTTTTAATACCATTTTAACATATAAACCTTGCCTTATACTGCAGTTCTAGTATTGGCGTGTCCTATCCATTATTTTATCATCTATGGCGTTTACCCCGCTTATCATGATTTTCAGATGCAGTTGATAAGACAGCCGAAACTGAAAAGATATCCCAGAGTATCTAATTGTTGTTTTTTTACCTATTCGATTAAAAAAAATTAGGTAGGTCTCTGCCCTTCGTATAAATTGTATAATCCGTTTAAATAATGTAAATGAAATAGCAATAGATATTTAGTCTTATAAGTGCAAAATACATATTTAAATAATTTGTTAGAAACATTAGTGAAAAAAGCCAGCACAGCAATATAACCGAATGTGATAATCGTTTTGAAATAAACGCTTCGATGCCAAACTGAAGATGATAAAAAAAAACTATTAAGTGAAGGTATGCGTTTTTTATTTTATAGACAATACACGACGTGTTTTGAATATAGTGTCGTTTTTTTTTCTCGATAAAATCGGTGTGATTTCAGATCCTATCGAATCAATTCAAATTAATTCAAATCAAAAAATTACACCGTGTGTATACCATTACCTTAAATTGAGAATAATCTACCGAAAATGATGACCAGTCGGTTAGAAAATGTAATAGGTATAATATTGTAAACTATTTAAAAACATCAAATATACAACTATTTACAAAGAAAAAGAAAAGGAGTTTACATTAAGTTATATGACAAAAGAAAAATTTTAATATCAAAAAAAAATCTTATTAGTATAACTACTAACCATCAACAGGTAACTTTATCAATTTTGAAAGAAATTGCCAAGTTTGGAATAGTTTTTTTTGGGGTTTTTTAATAATAAAATTACTGTTTGACTATAAATAAAAAATAAATAAAACAGTATATGCCAATCGTTATAGGACTACACTAGTTTATCCCTTCGGTTTAATTTTCAGCCTCTAAACTACAACCAAAAAAATAAAGTAAAGAAAAAAAATCTACTCCTTCTAGAGTTCTAGGGGGGGGGGAGGGTCTTTGATTTATTTTCAGTTTTTCCAAAGTCCTTTGTATAAAAAAAAAATACCCCATGCGGCTTACAAGTATTTATTTTTAATTTTTTTTATTATGGCTTCAGCAACTAGACTATTAGCTAGACGTTGGTTAGTTAATTACAATACATTTTAAGCTAGTTTTACATTACACATTTAAAAATTGTTATACATGTTAATATTTTTTTAAATAATAGAATAATTTGGGAACATTCTCGGTACTTAGTATGGTTTTGAGGCTCGTGTTGATGGACAAAGGTAAATGCCGAAAGGGGTAAAATATAGGCAACCTTAGACCATGTTTTTTATGATTCTTATCTAAGGGTAAATTAATCAAATTATTTTTTCCTCGAATACATTTCATAATAATAATATTAGAACCGTTTTTCTGTTATAACGTGCAATTTGTGCCGCACGTTTAACATTCAACGTTATTTTTTTTTTATCGTGTAAAGGGATCGAATTTCACATGGCTCATCGATTTCTAAATGTTGTTTACCACAATGATAATACTTCTTATAACACATAGTTTAAAATGCCCTAAAATTCTTGAACATTATAATAAACAGAATTTTTGTGTGCTAACATCTTTGGCAATGTGCTAAACTGTTGTATTTAAAAACGCCATTACAAAACACCAAATTATTTTTTTTTAAAAACACACCATGTGTATAGTAGTAAAACTCGGATATATCCTTTTTTCTATGAATATTTTAACAATATATTCTCTAAAATATATAAGACCTTTCTACACTTATATCATCAAAAAAGGTGAAATAAAAAGAAAAGACAATATTAACGATTGTTTATTTTTAGATATATTAACTATTTCAATGTATTTAGTTGAAATAAAATGTGCCTTGCGTTTTGCATTATTTTCTGTGAAAATAATTACAATTTTGCAATAGAAAATAATTTGAAACATAATCCCGGTAATTGACATTAATTGGCTTTTCAAATAACAATGCTAAACCAATAATTATCCTAAAAGCAAACGAGAGAGGTGTGTTCAACTGGAAATGCTCTTCTTTTTTCACGAGGTTGTTTCATATGTTTATAATATAATAGCACACGTATTACAGTACATTTAGTATTGTATTTTTTAAATTAAGATTTATTAACTTTTTTTGTCTGCCTCATGTATACCGAGTGTTTGTGTGGTTCCCATTCGAGATTATCCGTTCAATTATTTCTAGTTAAACGCAAATATTATGTGTTATTGTTGTATTTGTTTAAATGATCTCACACGGGGCTCTTAAAACGATAGCGTTAGATATTTTATTAGAGTATAATAAAAATATGTTAAACAACTAGCTGACACTCAAGTGGTCGGCGGCACACATTATCATACAAGTACACTAGGCTGACAAATCCATGGGAAAGTCGGTTGGCTAAGGTTTTAGCACCGGGGGAATTAATTGGTTTTATCTATGACATATTATTTATTAGCAGGTAGTAGTAGTAGTACAATGATGTGTGAATATTGAAATACCAATACGATGTGTTGTCTCTTATTTGCTTTTTTTTTTTTATCTGTTTTGTTTGATATAAATTATACATATAAATTACTGTGTTTGAAAATCATCCTGATCGTTTACCATTGATTTCCGTTCTCATAATATATTATATTATACGTACATAGCAGTAATACAAATTGAAGGGTCCGGTGCAATAACCCGCTATCTACATTTATTTATTTTTTATTTTTTTTAAATTGTTCAGGACTGTCGAAACAAAGTCCACTCTCCCATTTAATATCTCTGTAAGTATTGGTCCGGTTTTACTGTTTGGTGCAACAGAATGTAAATAATTTTCATGTAACTGGTTATTTTATCAGGGATTCTTTAGTTACAAAAATGAATAAGAGGGAAAAAGGTAATCATACGGTTTCAAAAATTGCCTATACAAACCCCTTTTTATAATATGTGTTTTAATCTTTTTTTCTACGGCGTTCCACATAGGCAAAATAAGTTTTCATACTTATTTTAATATTTCCAATATGAAATAATGTAATAATTACAAGATGATATGCATGTTATCGGTTTCAATGAGCGCTGCGACTTGATAAAAACAATATTTGTATTGTGAAATATCGACTGAGTGGGTTTGATGCGTCATATTTCAGCTTTAAAAATATATTTTCAAACTGTAAAAATGTTGATTAGTTTTCGAGCTGGAATCTTTTTAAAACGAAAAATTTCCTATGTTAATCAAACGCTAAAAAGGAATAACTTGTCTTTTTTTTCTTCTACATTTACAACCAAAATTAGCGTACTACCTTTAACTCTAGGCTTGCCAACCGACACAGCATACTTTGATCAATACATTATACAGCGGGGTATACTAATAAAAAAAAAAAATAATAATAATAATAATAATTGTGTTCATAGTATAAATATAAATATATTAGCTATCACGTGTATCACGTTACAGCCCGTTGAAGAAACTGATAAAAAACATGACCTGACATGTTGTTCAAAAAAAAAAAAAAGAGTTATCACAAAATATCTTAAGACGAACTCGCGAGTATCATGTTTCAGCTTCGAGAATATTTTTTTTTTAATTGTAAAAGTTTTGATTAGATTTCGAGTTGGAATTTTTTTAATGAAATGTCTCATGTTAATGAAATGGCAAAAAAAAAAAAAGAAATAGTTCACCAGGAAGTACTTAGAGTTGGTTGAACGGGGGTACCTTTAGAATTTTCAGGGATTTTGTTATTTGAATAGACAACTATCGATTGGATAGTTTTTTTTACACAGTCCGTTGTACAGCAGTTGGAAACCTATTATTACATGTTTATATCCATAATGTTTTTTTTTAAACAGTTTGTATTTTTAACACGGACATTATGTTATTGGGCTGGATACAAGAAATATTTCATGTCGCCCTGCGTTGGCGTTACACTTTCACTTCCGGTTAGAGATAAGAAATAAGTGATATGGGATAAATGATAAGAGAAAAGTGATAAGAGATATCCATGATTAAAATTTGTTTTTCCACGGATAGGAGGAAATAACTAGTTTTTTTTTTTTATCGAAATTGCAGGACGTTACACAATTAGTTCATATTGATATTTATGTCGTTTGTTTTTGTTTTCAGGAAATTACTTCACAACACACGGGATTCTCACAACCGCTGCTAGAAGCTCAGGATAGGCGCCGTTCGCTGACCGCCACCGATCCGGCTTTGAACATGCAAATTACCAACAACGGCTGTGCGATCAAACAAGAACCGGGAATACATCAGGAACCCAACGCCGTGATGACAAACTCTTCTTCGTCGTCGGTGCTGAGAAAAGTGCCATCGTTAAGCGACCTGTCTTCGCAGTCTTCCGACAACGATTACTCGCCGGATATGGGTGAGTGAAATCTAAAAAATATATTTAAAAAAAAAAATATATACTCTATTTTCGGTCGGGTCCATATCTCCCATTGGGGGGGGGGGGGGACAAGATAAGCAAATTAAAGGGACTTCACTGCAAATTGCAAACTATCACACATTAAGAAGGCGCGTTCTCGAGAATCAACTTTTTGGTGGATCGAGAAAAACATTGACTCGGTTGACACCTGTCTTGAAACGTGTGGGATCGGTTAAGTTCACTTCCGATATTAGTCACTCATACATTTGTTTAGTATTTTTGTTGGTTTCATTTTTTTCAGTAGTTCTCAGAGCCAGTGGTGTGTTTACAACTTTCTTCGTTATTAATCTTGCCCTTATAGGTTAAACCAAAAAAAGGTATTTGCTTTGTGCTTTAAACGCAACGCTACAAACTGTTTGTTCAATTATATAGTTTGTTGTTTTCAAATATCAATAGATAAAATGTTTTTAAAGTCCATATTCAAAAGTTTGTTTTTTATTTGAAAAATGACTGTAAGATAAAAAAATAATATATTTATTAAATATAATATAATAAATAAAACGGCACTTTTTTTTGCGACATATCGTCCAAAACTTATTAGTGGTAATACTTTTCTATGATTACAACATTTATTGTATTAAATACATATCTAATATGTAGCTTTTTTTTCCGAAAAAAAAAATAGGAGGGGGTATATCATCTTATTACCCTCGGTAAATACACCGTTGCTCAAAGCTCTATACATTTTTTGAAACTTTATAAATTAAGAATGATTAGTTAAACACTTTCACTGTGTCGACATCCGGTTTTGGACGATTGCTTTTAAAATGTAATAACTTTAAAAGTTATTATTTATAATTGGTTATCCTGTTAAGTTGTTCAGCATATTTTTCAAATTAAAAAAAAAAAATAATCAAATTTACACGTTACCGTTGTTTATGTTTTAAAAAGTCCGGTAGAGCTCTGGGAAAAAAAATTTAAAAAAATTAATATTTAAATATTGTATTAACCAAAGTATTTCCGAAAATAAAAACTACAAAACCACAATTATATATATGTATTATATAATTGTATTTTTTAATATATTATATTATTTGTAAAATATTATTTATTTGTATTTGTTTAACGAGCGCCCGAAGGCATAAGGTATAGTTTTCTTTAAACACACGGATGTAAACAATAATAAAAAAAAAACAATCCATACTTAAAATAATAGGGAACGCCCAAAATAAAAAAAAAAATAAATATACAACCTCTAGAAAAAAATTGAAATGCAGTAAAACTATAAATGTTTGAAAAATTACAAAACTATTCATAATAATAATATTGCTGGTCGTGTGAAAAATATCATTGAAAGCGGACGGTTATTAAGGGGTTTTATATAGGCAATATTTAAGGAAAAAGAGGTATTAGTAACTAAAAGTATACGAATAGGTGGAATGTAATGTCAGGCGATTTTTTGACAAGGAACGGCTACACGAATATTAGTCTAAGAAGAAGAAAATAAATACAAAAAAAAAATCTGTAAACGGGAAAACATATTTCCTGAGGGGAAAATGTCCCTAAAGATATTAACAACAACAATTGGCCTTGTGTGGGATCTAATAACCGTCTTGCTAGTGGCAAGTACAGCCATCTACCGGATGTTTTCAATAACCCAGGTATGGATTTCTTCGCTAGGTAGCGCTGCGATTCAGATTAATGATTTACATTTAGAGACCGTTTAGATGGCGCTACCGCACAGATTTATCCAGTTGGATACAGTTGAATGTACTTGTGGTAATAATAATAAAATTATGCTCATACCCGTGCTAATTTAACTCTGAAAATAAACACAACGTTACTCGAAAGCATCGAATAAAATATAAGCACAATAGGTATTAAAATAGGCGTGTGAGCGCTAAAAACCATTAAAAAATAAATATATATATATATATATATATATATATTATACATGCCGTGCACATTTTCCAATTATTATTATAATGTCCTAATGGCAATGACGTCTACTGACTGCTCAAGTTATGTTCGTTGTGTCTATGATTCATGTTGAATTAATTAAACGGTCATAAAATAAAAAGACCTGTCGTATCTGGACATTTTTCTATTTTACTAACAAAAATACTAATTTGAAAATAATGAAAGATTGTTGTACTTCCTGTTTGTCAAAATAATATTTGATTAAATTAATACATTTATATTCAACTGTGTGATTTTAAATATTTTTTTCAATTGAAACTATTCTTGTTTTTTTTTTTAATGTATATGCAAAATTGTTTTTAGTTAAAATTTACTTTAATCATTTATTAATTATTTTTTAAACTCGATAATAACTATTCGGATATTTGTTCAAATAAAATATAATTTTGTTTATTTATTTAATTAACACCCCAGTTTGGTATCAAAGTGAGATGAATGACATAAAATTCCGTATACCATTTTTTAAACTCACCCTTAATTTTAGATTATTTACCTTTTCAAGAGTCTATTTAGTGAACTGAATTTCACTAAAAATAATACATTAGGATTTGTATTGTTACCTCCTAATTATATTATAATGCACACCTTTTAATTTTTTTAAAAACTATAAAGTCATATTGATAAATTACACGAACTTGTTTTAAAAAATAATAACTGTATTTCAATTGGGGTCATTTTTTTTTATCCTTTTCTTAAAGTAATATAATTTTTAACTCAACATACCTAACTCTAGTTGTCGGGGGATCTGTTGTTGTTGCAATGCTTGAATATGAAGTCATATAAAATAATATGCATTTTGGCATTTGATACAAAATATGGCCAAACATAATACGCTTTTATTAAAAAAACATTTAATATTTTTGCATTTATATATTACATACTAAAAATGCTCATTTAAAAACATAATTCCAATTGTCACATGTACAGTTCCATACTTTAAAGAGAAATACTATTATATGGTGGTATTAAATAAAAAAATTATAAATAAACAGCGCTTACAGATCTTTAGGTTAAAATCTAATTAAATATACTTAATTGTTTGGACATGTGCGTTCATTTACCGAATTAGTTACAACGGTTTATAAAGATTATATCAGTCTTGTTAAATTAATTATTTTAGTCAAACAACGCGAATTGCATAAAGTAATACGAGACCAATTACGAAACGACAATTAAACATTTATACAAACAAAACAGTTTTTATCATTTTAGATTTTACCAGATTATTATATGTTTGGCATGAGAAGAAAAATAGTGGGTAAGCAAAAGTATGCCTGTTTTTTTTTAGATAGGTATATTCTTAAATATGCAATACACATGTTCTTTCCACTATATTGGTCTACTATCTGAATGCCTTAAGTCTGTTCAGTTTTATCCTGTTCATAAGAAGTTTAAAGGATTCTTTATTACACTATATATTTCAAGATAATTGTGTACATACCTACATTACAATTAAAAAATATAAAGTCTGGACCGAGTTATCCGTTTGATTGTTGAAAAAAAAATATTTATTTTGTTTTTTTTTGTTCTTCTCTTGACATTATGTTCCTTGAGGTAAAATAATATTTCCCTATTTTTTCAGAATTTAAAATTATTTTTAGAGGTTGCAAGCATCATTTTTCCAAAACAAATTTTTTTTAGTTTTTAGTTTTTTTAAGGTACAAATATCAATTTTAAACAAATGTTGCATGTATACTAAATCATCATCAAAAAAAGAGGAATACACCAATATTTTTTTTTTGGAAAACTGATGCTCGCAACCTCTAAAAATAGTTTTAAAAATCTGAAAAAAATAGAGAAATATTATTTTACCCCAAGGAACATTATGTCAAGAGAAGAACAAAAAAAACAAAATCAATTTTTTTTTGGTACACCCTAATGTATGTGCATTTTACTTTTTCAAGTGGGACTGAAAACGGTCGGACGGTTTTTTTTTTTTTGACAAATTAACGGGCAAGTCAAATGACAGTTAATTTTGCCTATACAAAACTCCTTAAAAACAGGCCGCGCGCAATCCCCCCATTGAACCTAACTAACCGCCGGCGTGGCATTAGAACAATATTATTCGGTTTTATTTATTTTTCGTTTAAATTTGAATATTACATCTAATTCAGCAGTATTTGTGTTTTTCCCACGGCAGGAGCACCTGTCTGACTATTATCCCCCCTGACCCCCTCGCCTACAATCCCCCCGCGACCCTAGCTGTAAGTAATTACACTCGAACCAAGTCATTTTTTATTATTATTATTATTATTATTACACAGCACTAGATAGTGGTGGTGGTGGTGGGTGGTGGTGCACACCTATAGATTAGTATCTGTATTGTTTGTTGGCCGTCGTCCATGCGATTCCATCGGCTGGCGATTAACAACGAGGGGGCGAGTAGGTGGAGTGGTGCCGCGTAGTTGCGGTCTAATGGTCACTATGACTAGGCACGGTTTAATGGTCGGTAGGTGTATAGTGTAGTGTGTATATAGAATAGTGAAGTATAGTAGGTATATTAGAGTGTACCTATGGCGGTGGCGGTGGTGCCTGTATAGTGATTTTTTTTTATGGTATTTTACATGTTTTTTTTTTTATATTGTGTTCCGTTTCATTTCGAGAGAGCAACTTTGGCGGAAATCGTTGTAATTATTTCACTCGGTTGGGCGTCGTTTTACGAGCGACTTGTTCAAATAGTACACACACACACACACACGCATACATTTAGTACATTTTATTCAATCGACTATTATTATTATTTTTGTAAATAAAAAAAACCCCATGGAACAGTGGGGGGGGGGGACTGGGAGGTCACGGGTTTACCGAAATTTTGGATACTATTAGTCCAACAGTATAGTCCAATATAAAAATGCCCATCTTATCTTCTAGGGGAAATGGTTTATGGTATGATATGTTTTTTTTTGGTTTGCCATTTCGGTTGAGGGTAGCAAGTCAAATTGACAATCTGCTTAGATATATTTTTTCAAGTAAATTATTTGTGCGACGGTACTGTGATAACGCTGTTGATAAGAAAACAA